TTGGGAAGCCAAACCGCCGTGCCCGCTGCATCACGACGACCACCGCTCACTCGCTCATGCCACACGCCGGAGCGCGTGGGCGACAGAGGACCATGTCAGCCTATTCCCACCGCTTTGCGGGAGCGTCAGCGCGTCGGCGGTTTCAAGATTTGCATCGTGCGCGACAGGGGGAGGGGCAAGAGTGGAGGGGCGAGGGAGCGAAGAGGAACCACAGAGGCAACGAAAGCAGCAACGTATGGCCAGGAAAGCAAACATGAACTTAAATGTGACCGTCTCACTCGCCGAATTGTAAGGTGGAACGCTTCACAGAGACATCGCGTCGGACAGGGTCCTGTAAGCACTGTCAGTACGCCACCAAAATATATACACTGACACCCTCCGAGGAACTTCGTATATACCTTCAGGTAGGGCGGCGGTGCATAATATCGCTGGCTCTCAATGATTTTTCATTCACCACCACCCTCCCCTGAGGCCCAGGAACAAGTCATTGGAGGGTGCGTGTGTATATAGAGGCGACGGAGTTAAAGCAGAGAGTGCGAATTGAGGCACGTGGATCTTTTCTTGACAGCCCGTTTGACCCTTCTCGCTGCAGTCGTCCACGCCGGCGTCGGAGCGCGTTCGTGTCAGACAGAATACTGTCAGGTTGAAAAGTTGCGAGGCGGGAATGTATTCATATCCACCGCCTGGGAACCGACGTCCTGCAGCACCCCCAGGCGCTGGATATGGATATATGTTGGCCCCCGGAAGCCCGAATATATCCCTATTCACCGCCTGCCGAGGTCTCCTCCCGGAAAATTAATCCTCCAGGCGGCGGTTATGTATAGATCTCCGCCTCGGAAAAGTGGCTCGTCTGAAAACAGCATGGCTTGATGCCCCGACTGCCCCACACAGCGATAGCTGCTACCGTCAACATTAGGTCCTGTAAGGGTCCTGCCGGGCCTGCTCTAATACGTACAGACGCAGTCGACACGTACGACAGGAGAAAAACACCAACAAAAAATGCAGTGAGAAAACTTATCCCGAGGCAAACGGCTTGGAATACGTCCAGCTTCATTTTCTGTAGACAGCAACACTGGACTCCCGTTCTACATGGCCCGGATGAGGGGGACCAGAAACATTTCATTCTGAAGCGCAATTCCGCCGTGCCCTCCAGGGGCCTCTGCACCTCGTCCTCAGAGGCTGGCAGTGAAGACAGCAACACTGGCGAATCTTGGTGAGAATCCATCCATTCCCGCCGGAACCAGGTGAAATTCCGTGCCCTCCGATGACTGCCCGACGAAACAGAACTGCACTGACCTGACTGAACTGGGAGGGTCCCCTCTTGACAACACATTTCAAATCCCCCGCGGGCGCAAACGCAGCCGCAACCAAGCGACCCACGTCAACCCGCCCGCTGGCGCAACCGCAACCGCAACCAGGCGACACATTTCAACCCGCCCGCGGGCGCAACCGCAACCGCAACCAGGCGACACATTTCAACCCGCCCGCGGGCGCAACTGCAACCGCAACCAGGCGAAACATTTCAACCCGCCCGCGGGCGCAACCGCAATCACAACCGCAACCAAGCGACACATTTCAACCCGCCCGCGGGCGTAACCGCAACCGCAACCGCAACCAAGCGACACATTTCAACCCGCCCGCGGGCGCAACCGCAACCACGACCTAGCTACACATTTCAAATCCCCCGCGGGCGCACCGCAACCGCAACCTGGCGACACATTTCAAACCACCCGCGGGCGCAACCGCAACCGCAACCGCCACCAGGCGACACATTTCAACCCGCCCGCGGGCGCAACCGCAACGGCAACTGCATCCAGGCGACCCGCAACCAGGCGACACATTTCAACCCGCCCGCGGGCGGAACCACAACCGCAACCAGGCGACACATTTCAAACCACCCGCGGGCGCAACCGCAACCGCAACCACAATCGCAACCAAGCGACACATTTCAACCCGCCCGCGGGCGCAACCGCAACCGCAACCGCAACCAAGCGACACATTTCAACCCGCCCGCGGGCGCAACCGCAACGGCAACAAGGCGACACACTTCAACCCACCCGCTGGCGCAACCGCAATCACAACCGCAACCAAGCGACACATTTCAACCCGCCCGCGAGCGTAACCGCAACCGCAACCGCAACCAAACGACACAATTCAACCCGCCGCGGGCGCAACCGCAACCACAACCTGGCGACACATTTCAACCCGCCCGCGGCGGCAACCGCAACCAGGCGACACATTTCAACCTCCCGCGGGCGCAACCGCAACCGCAACCTGGCGACACATTTCAACCCGCGCGCGGGCGCAACTGCAACCGCAACCAAGCGACACATTTCAACTCGCCCGCTGGCGCAACCGCAACCGCAAACAGGCGACACATTTCAACCCGCCCGCTGGCGCAATCGCAACCACAACAACAACCAAGCGACACATTTCAACCCGCCCGCGGGCGTAACCGCAACCGCAACCGCAACCAAGCGACACATTTCACCCCGCCCGCGGGCGCAGCCGCAACCACAACCTGGCGACACACTTCAACCCGCCCGCGGGCGGAACCACAACCGCAACCAAGCGACACATTTCAAACCACCCGCGGGCGCAACCGCAACCGCAACCGCAACCAGGCGACACAGTTCAACCCGCCCGCGGGCAGAACCGCAACCACAACCGCAACCAGGCGACACAGTTCAACCCGCGCGCGGGCGCAACTGCAACCATAAACAGGCGACACATTTCAACTCGCCCGCTGGCGCAATCGCAACCACAACCGCAACCAAGCGACACATTTCAACCCGCCCTTGGGCGTAACCGCAACCGCAACCGCAATCAAGCGACACATTTCAACCCGCCCGTCGGCGCAACCGCAACCACAACCTGGCGACACATTTCAACCCGCCCGCGGGCGGAACCGCAACAGCAACCAGGCGACACATTTCAAACCACCCGCGGGCGCAACCGCAAACGCAACCGAAACAAGGCGACACAATTCAACCCGCCCGCGGGCGTAACCGCAACCACAACCGCAACCAAGCGACACATTTCAACCCGCGCGCGGGCGCGAACGCAACCACCACCAGGCGACACATTTCAACTCGCCCGCTGGCGCAACCGCAACCACAACCGCAACCAAGCGACACACTTCAAACCACCCGCGGGCGCAACCGCAACCGCAACCGCAACCAGGCGACACATTTCAACCCGCCCGCAGGCGCAACCGCAACCACAACCTGGCGACACATTTCAACCCGCCCGCGGGCGGAAACGCAACAACAAACAAGCGACACATTTCAAACCACCCGCGGGCTCAACCGCAACCGCAAACCGCAAGCAGGCGACACATTTCAACCCGCCCGCGGGCGGAACCGCAACCACAACCGCAACCAGGCGACACATTCCAACCCGCGCGCGGGCGCAACTGCAACCGCAACCAGGCGACACATTTCAACCCGCCCGCAGGCGCAACTGCAACCGCAATCGCAACCAGGCGACACATTTTTCAACCCGCGCGCGGGCGCAACTGCAACCGCAACCAGGCGACACATTTCAACCCGCCCGCGGGCGAAACCGCAACAACAACCGCAACCAAGCGACACATTTCAACCCGCCCGCGGGCGCAACCGCAACCGCAACCGCAACCAGGCGAAACATTTCAACCCGCCCGCGGGCGCAACCGCAACCACAACCTGGCGACACATTCCAAACCACCCGCGGGCGCAACCGCAACCGCAACCGCAACCAAGCGACACATTTCAACCCGCCCGCGGGCGCAACCGCAACGGCAACTGCAACCAGGCGACCCGCAACCAGGCGACACATTTCAAACCACCCGCGTGCGCAACCGCAACCACAACCGCAACTAGGCGACACATTTCAACCTGCCCGCGGGCACAACCGCCAAAGGCGAGGAGGCGCAGGAGCACGAGAAAGGATGGGCAGGACGGCTAGGAGGAGGAGGAAGAGGCGGAGGAGGACGACGACGACGACGTGGATGCACGGGTGGTCGTGTGTCAGGGGGTTGCTGGACTAGGCGCCAGTCGAGGAAGAAACCCGATGGCACGATATGAAGATTGAGGGCCTGGAGGATGAGAAGGAGAATGAGGAGGAGGGGGCCGATGAGGAGGACGAGGAGAAGGAGGAGGACGCGTTGCCCGCAGTTCTCCGCCGGGACATTGCAGCGGGGAAACCCCATTCCACGCTGCTGCCTCTGATTGGTTTAGCGAAGCGGTGGAAAGCGAATACAAGACCTTTGCGTGTGTGCTTCCAGGCCCGCTAAAATCTAGCAAACATGCCCCATGCAGCCCCCAGCCGCTTGTTCAATTCTTGCGCCACGCAACCTGAGGTGTACGCGATGATCATGAGGCTCTGACAAGAAGCATGTACCTCCCCGTAAGTAAACAAGCGCTCGACCTGAGATGTTATCAGTATGTCTGAGTATGTGCCAGCCTGAATGTAACTGAGTCTGAGTGCAAGTGAGTCTGAGGATGGGACGATCTGAGTTTAAGTGGGTCAGGTCGCGAGTCTGAGTATGAGCGAGTCTGACCGCGAGAGGGTCTGAGTGTGACTGGTCCTGGTATGGATGAGTCTGAACTGACTATGAAGTATTAGATGGGAAGGGAGGAAGAGGAAGAGGAAGAGGAAGAATAAGGTGGATAGATCACATTAACAAGAAGAGCACAACACTCCAAATCTGGAAAACACTGCCCTCAATATTTGTTCTGCGGCACCTCGAGGTCTGGAGATTGGGCAGCAGCAAGAGGAAGGGGAGGAAGAGGACGAGGAGAAGGACGATAAAGAAAAAGATTACAGGAGACTCCAGAGTGGCAGACGACGGCAACGAGGAAGAGGTCAAGAACGGCGACGACGACGACGACAACGACGACGACGACGACCATGGCGAAGCCGGCGACGAGGACGAAGATGATGACAACAGCGGCGGCGAGGACGAGGAAGAGGACGGGGACGAGGACGACAACGACGACGACGACGACACCGCCACCGCCGCCGCCGACGCCGACGACGCCGAGGCCGAGGCCTCGGACAAGGACGAGGAAGAGGACGAGGACGACAACGACGACAACGACGACGACGACGACAACGACGACGACGACGACGACGACGAGGACAACGACGACAACGACGACGACGACGACGAAAACAATGACGACGACGACGATGACGACACCGACGAGGACGGCGCAATCTCCTGCCGACTTCGGAGACGTGGTCCTCCAGTTGGACGTACCTCCTTGGGAGGCGGGAAGCACTCGGAGAGCTGCTGGATGGGGGCTCATGTTCCTGCCTCCTTCCTCCCTCTTTCTCCCTTATCCTCCCTTTCCTCCCTTCCCCCCAAGAAAGCCAGGCGACGCGAACAGAAAACATGGCTGATGTTTCAAGCATTCTCGGCGTCTGGGGCCGTTTTTGGGGACCTGGGCCGTCAAAGGCCAATCTACAGTTGAGAACCCGGTCTCAGGCACGAGGTCGACAGCTCCAGTGGCCCTTCCCCCCTCCTCGTCCTCCTCCCCCATCACTGACTCTTCCCCCCCATCCCTCCCCTCCCTCCCTCCCCCCTGATCATCCCTCCACCCCGCCCTTTCTCCCCTTTTCCCTCCCCTTCTTCGACACTTCTGCGATCATGCGCAGATCCCGCTCGGCATGAGAGCAACATCTGGCCAGCACCCCCTCCCTCGCGCCGCGGCGCACGCCTTCCAGCGCGATGCCGCTGCCGCGGGGCCTCGGGCGGCTCGCCGCGTCGCGCCGGCGGCCCGATCGGGCGGCAGGGGCCGATCGGGCGGCTCGAGCGCGCGGGCCGGAGGGCCGACGGAGGGCCGGAAGGGGGCGCCTGGGCAGGACGGAGGAACTGCAAAGGAGGCTCGCCCGGCAGCGGGGGAGGAGGAGGAGGAGGAGGAGGAGGAGGAGGAGAAAGGGAGGAGGAGGGGGAGGAGGGGGAGGAGGAGGAGGAGGAGGAGGAGGAGGAGGAGGAGGAGGAGCAGGAGGAGCAGGAGGAGGGGAAGGAGGACGAGGAGGAGGAGGAAGAGGAGGAGAAGGACTGTAAGACGATAAGCTTCCCTTGGGGATGGACAGGGAGCGCGCACTACGGCCTCGGTGCCACCGGCTTCCCTCCTCCTCCTCCTGATCCTCATCCTCCTCCGGCGGCGACAGCGGCGGCGGCGGAAACGACGACGACGACGAGCACAACGACCACAACCACCGTGGCCACGGCAACCGTGACGATCATTTGAAGACCGTTCGATCTCACTTGATCACGTGCCATTCCTTCCTGGTATATCCCCCTCCCTCTGCACTAGTCCTGCAAGTCTATTCACAAACCCCGTTTCAGGGGTAAAACCTGGATGGATAAGGAAGGAAAGACGCGAGAGCGCAGGACTCGGACCCAAACATGCGAAGATGAAGGGGGGCTGAAGGAGGGAGGGAGGAAGGAATGAAGGGAGGAAGGAAGGAAGGAAAGAAGAAAGAAAGCAAGGGAGGGAGGGAGGGAGGAAGGAGGGAGCCCGCTGCATGAGTATGAGTCCGTTCCAGGTGTTGGAATCGACGGATTCGCAGATGAGAGCGCCGAGGCAGCTCGCGCCTGGGCGGAGAGAGCGCGTCTCCCGAGTAAGTCTCGAGGAGGCCTCGGGCGAGAGCGCGATGCCCAAGTACATCGCGAGGGCCTGTCAAGCGGGAGCCGCCATTGCTTCACTGACCTGAATAGGGTGCTAGGAAGTATCGGGTCCGAGGGCCACGCCATGAGTACGAGGACGTGTCTGGCCAGGACGTCTTCGAGTATAAACTATGGGCAGGGGCCAGGTGGAAGCGGCGGGAGCCGTTGCCGTCGCAGTTGGGACTTCACCAGCCTGACTGAATTTCGAGAACGTCTCGAGCGAGAGCGCCGATCCTGAGTGCGGGGGCATCCCTGGCCAGGGCGTCCAGGAGAAAATTGTGAGGAAGTATACAGCGGGAGCCATTGTCATCGTTGTTGGGTTTTCAGCAACCGCGATTTGGAGGCAAGCCCGAGCTCGAGCGGAAGCGTCGCTTTCAAAAAACATGTAGCCGACGTCAAGGCGAGAGCGCGAAGAACCAGTTCCATTGATCAACAAGCTTTATCTCAAGAAATGCATATTCGACGGCGGCGGCAGTGGCAAAGAAGGCGGGGACGACGGCGGCGGCGACGACGGCGACAAAGACGGCGGCAAAAACGGCGGCGACGACGCTGGCGGCGACGACCAACACGACGAACACCACGACAACGACGACGACGACGACGACGACGACGACGACGCAGACGACGACGACGACGACGACGACGACGACGACGACGACGGCGACGACGACGACGGCGACGACGACGACGACGACGACGACGACGACGACGACGGCGGCGGCGGCGGCGGCGGCACCCGCTGCCGCCGCGCCGAGCCGCAGCCGATGGCCAAGCGCCAGACGCCGCACCCGGGCCCATGTCCCAGTCCAGCCCGAACCCCGGGGAGCTCCTCTGCAGGGAGCCTGCTTGGCGGCGGGAAGAAGCGAGAACAACCAGGACGAAGACGACGCTCGTGACCATGAATAAGACGACGACGACAACGACGACGACGACGACGATGACGACAACGACGACGACAACGACGACCACCACCACCATGACCACGACAACGAAAACGACGACGACGACGACGACGACGACGAGGACGGCGGCGACGACGACGACAACGACGACGACCACGACGACTGGACGAGCACGACCACGAGGACAACGACACAATGAGGAGCGCCCGTCGAGAGGGGCGACGGGCCTGCCTGGCACGTCTAGCGCCGAGGCCTCTCACAGACCGCTCGTGCTGGTCGCGGCTCCTTGACGCGCTGGGCTGCCACGTGGGCCCGCGCGAGTGCAGCGGCAGGAGGAGGCCACCGTCCCTGCGGCGTGATGCCCAAGGAGGTTGTTCTTGTGGGCGGAGAAGAGCAGCGAGAGGGCGCAACTCGAGCTTGGAATGGGATTGCGCCTCCACTCCACACGTTACACAATGGTTCCGTGAAACCGAATCCTCATTATTGCCCCCAGCGAAATCCAACTTGTCGAGCCCACCCTAGCAAGATGCATAGCTCGATCCACCACGCAGAAGACGGTCGATGCGTCCTCAACGGCCCTGCTACTTCGGAGCGGTTACGGTCACGATCGCTGCAGACTGAGGGGCTGCAGCAGGGCAGCTTGGATCTGAAGTCACAGGCGACCCTCGGAACGGCGAGCAGTTCTGACTCACACAACGACGGCGAATGATCTCTCATTCGGCATTCATATATGAAGGACGTGGGGGTCAAGTTCAAAACGATGATCTTGGCGTCCGTACAGACGGCAGCGACCAAATCGCAATCGGGTGAGAAAGATGGCACGCGACGCAATGAACCACGACGGCGGAGCTGAGACGAGGATGCTGTCGCGACGGCAGAGAGATGATGGCGGCGGCTGGGAAGAGGCCGCGAAAAAGGCGACCACTGTGACCGCGGCAAGGGGCGACCAGATATGGATGCGGCGGCGAGTGAGGACCGGCCTGCCGTGGCGATCATCCTGTTCCCGCTGCCGTGCCGCGGCAGTCCACCTGGGAGATGCTGGGCGCCAGAGAAGGCGGGGAAATAGCCCGAAGGAGGGCAGGGAGGAGGTATCAAGGCGCGGAAATGGCACTGTGGTGCGGTCGAGAAGGCAACGCCGCGCGCGCATCTTGATGCAAACGGGCTCGTTTGAATACAACTCCGCCGGCCCCCGCGGGTTGGCTTTGCTGCTCCCTGCACCAGTTCCAATTTCCCCGAAGAGTGTTTGCATGTAGGGGTGAGTGGCGGCGTTTGCGGGCGGTGCCGCCCGTCGCCACCGTCGCCGTCGTCGTCGCCGCCGCTCGGGGCGAGTGACGGCGTTTGTGGGCGGTGCCGCGCGTCGCCGCCGTCGCCGCCGTCGCCGCCGTCGCCGTCGTCGCCGCTCGGGGCGAATGGCGGTTTTTGCGGGTGGTGCCGCCCGTCGCCGCCGTCGCCGTCGCAAAGACTGCACCACATAGATCCCGGCAAAGCAACCTGATAGCGCTGTGTATAAGCATATCTGGAAGCATTCCCCTTAAGATTCAGGTGATAATCCAGTTGTAGAATTCTGCTGTTCTCGCAGTCGCAGTCGCATTCGCAATGACAGTCGCAGTGGCATCGGCCTTAGGATCCAATGGAATCCTAATAATTCCTAGGGCTTCCTAAGGCATCCTTAGGCATCCTTAGGAATCCATAGGAATCCTTAGGAATCCTTGGGAAACCTTCGGATGAGGCCGAGGCAGCTTCGGCCTGCCTCGGCCTCATCCTCAGCCTCAGCCTCAGTCTCAGCCTCAGCCTGTCTCGGCCTGAGCTTGCCTCGGCCTCAGCCTCAGCCTGCCTCAGCCTCAGCTTGCCTCAGCCTCAGCCTGAGCCTGTCTCAGCCTCAGCCTGCCTCAGCATCAGCCTCAGCCTCAGCCTCAGCCTGCCTCAGCATCAGCCTCAGCCTCAGCCTCAGCCTGCCTCGGCCTCAGCCTCAGCCTGCCTCAGCCTCAGCCTCAGCCTGCCTCAGCCTCAGCCTGCATCAGCCTCAGCCTCAGCCGGCCTCAGCCTCAGCCTCAGCCTCAGCTCGCCTCAGCCTCAGCCACAGCCTCAGCCTCAGCCTCAGCCTGCCTCAGCCTCAGCCTCAGCCTGCCTCGCCTCAGCCTGCCTCAGCCTCAGCCTGCCTCCCTCACCCTCAGCCTCAGCCTGCCTCAGCCTCAGCCTCAGCCTCTCAGCCTCAGCCTGCATCAGCCTCAGCCTCAGCCTCAGCCTCCTCAGCCTGCCTCAGCCTCAGTCTCAGCCTGCCTCAGCCTCAGCCTGCCTCAGCCTCAGCCTCAGCCTGCCTCGGCCCTCAGCCTCAGCCTCAGCCTGCCTCGGCCTCAGCCTGCCTCGCCTCAGCCTGCCTCAGCTCGGGCATTCTAGCACAGGACTAGTGTTCTCGGAACGCGAAGATCACGAAGTGGCCCACAGCTGGCTCCGGACAATCAAAATAATATGGTACAGGAGTGGTGTTCTGGGAACACGAAGAACACGAAGTGGCCTACAGTTGGCTCCGGGCATTCAAAATGTGGAATGGGAATCGTGTTCTGGGAACACGAAAAACACGAAGTGGCCTACAGTTGGCTCCGGGCATTCAAAATGTGGTCTGGGAATGGTATTCTGGGAACACGAAGAACACGAAGTGGCCTACAGCTGGCTCCGGGCATTCAAAATGTGGCCTGGGAATGGTGTTCTGGGAACACGAAAAACACGAAGTGGCCTAAGGTTGGCTCCGGCCATTCAAAATGTGGCCTGGGAATGGTGTTCTGAAAATGGATTCCTAAGGATTCCCAAAAATTCCTAAGGATTCCTAAGGCTGCCGGATCCTGCCGGATCCCCTGTCCGGGTCCCGCCCAGACCCCCCTGGGGCGTCAAGATGCTCTTTTTCGAGACCACCAGAAACCTATCAGCAAAAGCTGCTTGGTAATAGTCACCCCCCCGGATTATCGGTACCCCTTTTTCGCATTGCACTTTACATGTGATTCTGCCACATCGCCCATCCTCAATATGAGTCCGTACCATCCCAGCCCAATTGGTTTCCGCCCCCCCCCCCCCCGTCATCCCATGGAAAAACCGTACGCGCGCACACTCGTTGCACACGCGCGCGTCGTCGCGCGCGCATGCCATAATCCTTCAAAAACCGGCGGTTTCACAACGTTTTTTAAAATCGAGTGCCCAAAGATAAATTATGATTGAAACTACTGTTTCGCAACATCCATTTTCAAAAAATCAAACAAACAAACTAATACATAAAAAAACGTGCGCGCGCGCGCTTTCTTGCGAATTCTTCAAAAAAACATTGGTTGATTTCAACATGTTCTGAAAATACTACCAAATGGGCTTCGCGCGCGCATGCCGGAATCTTTCGAACGCCTTTGCGCGCGTGCCGTCGTGAGAACCCTTTGCAAAAAACGGGACGACATGGTCACGCGCGCGTCGTCGCGCGCGCATGCCGAAATCCTTCAAAAACCTCCGGTTCCATAGCGATTACAAAACCGAATGTCGAAAACCATATAAAAAACACACTGCTTCGCGACACCAAATAAATTCGATATGTTTTGAATGGCCACCGCCTCCGGCGCCGCATGTCGACATCATTTGCACGCCCTTGCGCGCGTGCTGGGGGGGGGGCACAATCCGCGCCACTTGAAACCGCGCACATGTCGAACTCTGCCCAAAACCTTCCTCACCGACGCGAGGACGCCGTCATCGTCGTCGGCGTGATCAGCAACGGCGCCCGCACAGGCCGCGCCATCGTCGTTGTCAAAATCGCCACCAGAATCGCTACTACCATCATCGTGTCCACCGTTGACGGCGTTGCCATGATACCGCGCCCGTCCAAGCCGCCGACTCACAGTGTGAAGTACCCTCTGGGATGCGCCTAGCGGTCAGCGCCACCGCGGCCGCGTCGGCGGCGCCAAACTAGTTCGCCGCTGCGCGCCCTAGGGTTGGCGCGGCCGCAGAGATGCACCAGCCAACGCCACGCATGCATCGCAATCGCCACCGCATGGGTTTTGCAAACCAATCTGCGGGTGGGCGGGGGGGATGTTTGCAAAAGCATGGGATGTGTCAACTCGTCTGTAAAAAGCAGTTCTCATTTCCAACAAAAAAACACATTCCCCCCCCCCCCCCCCCCCCCGGAGTTAACGCCCCCCCCCGGGGCATTGCAATCTCATACTTACTCTGCACACTCGTCCATCCTAAATATGGATTCGCACTATCCCAGCCAGCCCAGCATCGCCCCCCCCCCGGCCACACCTGTCAAATCATACTATGGGCGCGCACGCTTCTCTATCTGAAAGAAGCAAAATTCAACAATACCTTGCCAAAAAACGCGCGCGTTCTTGTCACATTCGTACCAAACACAATGTTTCTGCAAGCATCGCAGCATAAAAACTTAGAGAGAAAAAATGTTGCAACAAGAGTGTATCAGATGTCCTGTCCGCGCGACCACGCTAAAATCATACAACAACCATGGCATTCTGATGAATTCTGCCAAATCCAACGATTTCATGTCGACGCGCGGTGCACTCGCGATACTCGTGTAACGCGCCGAGGGCGCGAACCCCTTGCAGAGGAAAAAACAAACATCTTTCTAACACAAAAAACACGCGGGCCACATGCGCGCACCGCCGCGCGCGCATGATCAGTCCGACGGATTGGTTGAACTTCCGCGCGCGCGGATGTCCTATTCAACATTGTCAGCATCACCGCAACCACCTGCCTTATCGACAGATGGACATCAGCATACATCAGCATCGTCAACGTGTTTGCCGTCATTGGCGCGGTTATCGTTCGTGCCTTCGCCCTCTTGAACATCTTTGTCGCTGGTGCCATCTTCGTCATTGTCGCAGACGTTGCCGACGTCATCGCGTCATCGCGCACGTCCGAGCATCGTCGATATGCCCACCTTCATCATCGACTCACGGCAACGAGCGTCGGCAGCGAGGACGTCATCATCGATGTCGTGATCGGCGGCGCCGCCGCCCCGCGCATCATGAGTTTTGCCAAACCAGTTGCGGGTGGGAGAGAGGGATGTTTGCGCGAGCAGTGGAGATGGCGACTTCAAGTTGAGCAGAGTGGATTCTCCTTGCTACCATAAGAATGAACACGACCCCCCCCCCCCCATTAACGACACGCGTGTTCGTACTGCAATTGACATATGATTCTGCCCCATCGCCCATCCTGAATATGAATTCATACGCTCCTGTGGGGCCACGAAACGTGTGAGGGGTGTGCCGAAATGAATGGCGGGGACGCATGCGGACTGTGCCACGTGGACCTCCGGCGGAGCCCCTATGGGGCCACGAAACGCTGTACTGGGTGGGGGAGACGCATGCGGACTGCGCCACGGGGGCCGTCGGTGGCGCTCCCCGTGGGGCCACGAAACGCTGTACTGGGGGGGGGGACGCATGCCAACCGCGCCATCGGGACCTTCGGTGGGGCTATCTATGGGGCAACGAAACGTGTGATGATGTTGATGATGCTGATGTTGATGATGATGATGACGGCGGTGATGACGATGAGGATGATGGTGATGGTGATGATGAGGAGGAGGAGGAGGAGGAGGAGGAGGAAAGGAGGAGGGAGGAGGAAAGAGGAGGACACGCGGGGCGCTGTCTCTTCAAAACGAGGACCCAACACCACAGGATGGGTTCGGAAAAAATATCTTGGCGAAGGACCCAACCATATGCAATTGTGAATACCGCAATTGTGAATATCTTCTTCGGTGGCGTTCCCTATGGGGCCACGAAACGTGTGAAGGGTGTGCCGAAACGGGTGCGCGGGACGCGTGCGGGCACACCCACTGGGACCTTCGGTGGAGCTCCCTATTGGGCCACGAAGCGTGTGAGGGGTGCTCCGAAATGGGTGTGCGGGACGCATGCGGGCACACCCACTGGGACCTTCGGTGGAGCCCCCTACGGAGCCACGAAACGTGCGAGGGGTGTGCCGAAATGGGTGTGCGGGACTCATGCGGGCACACCCACTGGGGCCTTCCGTGGAGCTCCCTATG